AGCGAAATGCACAAGTGGTCCAACCGTTATCCCACGTCAGATTACTTTTCAAGTCCTCATATATGGAGCATAGTGTTCAACAAGCGGCCTGTGGAATGTAAGCACCTATTCACCTAACTTTCGGTCAGATGAATAATCTTTGCACTGTCGTGACCAAAGTAGATGGTCTTTTATTTACATGTTGAACAAAATCATAGTAATTTTCATCATAGTACTACAATTATATTCAACGGGTGAGAGTTGTTCGAAAGCTGTCACGTTGATGTACAGTGTTTCGACTAAAATACACTTGCAGCTTTCGTCTTCGTTTATAATATGAACTGACCATGTTCTTCTTGACACTATCACAAATCACTCTAGTCAATTGTGTTCCTCAACTAGTCTTCCTTAAACATCCAAGCATTTTCACAACTACTTCGTACCACCTATTTTTGATTTCTACCGATTGTCGGATTGTGAAATGACTGACGTTCAAGTGACTTTTACTCCATGTGAGCTTCAATAAAAATATATGATCATATTCGACGATCAGTTCTGTATGTAACGAAATCGTGAAGCCATTTGGTTTATGAGTTTGGTTGTGCAGACTTGAACGTAACATTCAGCACCCAACCTGAGCACTAGTTATCCTACCTGGTAATCACAGTCAAACGTTCACAAATATTTACATTTATCGATCAGATAATAGTACGAGTGTTTGGTGGAATCTATCACGAATTTCGTCGAGCTGAACTAACTTGTTTGCAGCCCATCACCGATTATGCCGATAATTATTCACACATGTTTACGAGGGCTGGCAATCCGGTCAAAATTCTGTACACCCGAGTTGCAAGCATTCATTTTTATATGTGAATTAGACTCTGAACAGTTCGACGTATGCTTCACAATACTCAAACGAGTACCTCGAAATACACAGTCATTGTCACCTACACAACAACCATCACACGTTTCGCTGTTCAACAAAACCGTTCAACGTCATTATCTCCCCACATGTGACCTGATAAACTGACAGTAACGCCTATCGATTCTTGAATAATCCTCACTGTGAACTAGTTTCACCTCACCACATCAGGCCACGATCCTCATATCTCAGTAACAATTTTGATGAGAACACAGAAGAACGGGTTCACAACACACAACAACCTTAATCTCGATTGACTTGAATACAACTTTGTGAAGTGTGTTGACCTGATTCATGCGAATCACTCAAACAGAATTACTAATCCCAGGAATCGATTGCATGACATTTACCAATCCGTTTCTTTGAGCAGTTGCGACTGTGTGTCAACCAAAAACAACTGGCTAACTCACAGGTTTGTGAGTATAAATAGCTCAGAGTGGAGTCCTAAAACAAACCACACGAACACGAAATTGTCACTGAAAAATGAGCATCAAGGTTTCACTCCTACTTGCATTGGTCGTCTCGTGTGAGATTGTGTTCGCCGATAAACTCCATCGTAAGTGTAGTTGTTTGCTCTTAATGTCAATGTTTCCACCGTAATTGTGTTGTGATTGCGGTTGAACTGTTCATATGTTTCATACACATAGTTCCGTTTATCATTTTGAAAAGAGCGAGAACAAACATTTTGGCAAAATATCATGAGTTCATTTTTATTTCGTTGGTTCTCGTCAGCTGCTTACAACCTGTGATATTTAAAATCATAATTAATGGGTTTAAATTACTTACATAAAAGAGTTTGGTTGGAAGTTATATTACAGACATATTCATATAGTATAGCAAGGGTGTTAATAAATTTAATAGACTGAATACTGTAAATATATACCTTATGTGATGAAAGAACATTGTGACATCAGTTCAAACGGTTAGAAACAAATAAACCTTGATAGGAATAAAATGAGTAGATTTCAGTTGGTAAAATAAGATAGTTGGAATGAAACTCAATGGTGTGATAAATGCAAGAAAGAGTTTAAAGAAAGAGAAAAAAATCATTAAGATATAATGAAGGAAAATTGATCACGAAGGCAAGGAAAGATTATTAACCATCTCCTTTTGAACACATAAATCAGGCTTTTGTCGCCTGATAGCAACTGCTTCGGCAAACCTCAGGAGACTGGAGTTTGGCTGCTTACTAATCACCTTGAATGATTGTAGGGTATCGACCTGATGTCCTATATCAAGAAGATGTTTGGTGATTGCAATATTTATAGTCTTTCTTTCTCTTGTTCTGAGGCTTTTTGGAACATATTTAAAAAAATCTGAGATATGCCCCCCTTTCTGTTCGGCCAGTGTAGCTGCTCTGGCAGGTACACGTAAATTTATAAATACAATTGGCGGTAACATGAAAAGGATGCTTATCAACTTTTGACTGAGTTATTGAGCATGTTGTTTTATACATAATTTGAAGTTTGGCCGCCGGATAAGTTCTGGCTAGCGCAGTATTCAGTCTCCTGTTGATTGTGCTTGCAACCTCGTCACCTTTGGAGTTAAGACTTATAGTTATTGGTTTTTTATTGACAGTAATAACTTCAGTATTGTTTTCTTTACGCTTCTTATGCCTGTCAATTAACTTTTGTGGGTGAAAGTTGTCTCGCAGGCATTTTTCCACTTTCATCAATTCTTCTTCGAGTTTGTCAGTGGCACATATCATTTCTGCCTATAAAATAGTGTTTTAACTAATGCCTTCTTGTAACTCAGTGGACAAAAGCTATTGGAATTCAGGTAAATGCCATTCCAAGTACTTTTTCGATAAATCGAACGTTGAACTGTCCCGTCTCTCCTACGTTTTATAGCAACATCAAGAAACTGGAACATGTCATTCTGTTCGTGTTCCATAGTAAATTGTATGTTAGGTTGAGCGTTATTGAACTGTTCGTATGTTCATCAAAATCCGAAAAACATGATGTGCAATCTTCCAAGAGTCCGTCGACTGATATCGATGGAAGTTCCGAACGAACTCTGGTTATGACAAACAGAACGCCACTACATATGTCGAAGTATATGTTTGGTCCGTGAGAGCACATTTGTTCTTCCATCACTGGAGGTTGTGATTTGCCTTACAAAGGTTTCGGAACGCACATCTGAAGGCGGGCGAAAACCATGATTTGTGAGAGCATCACTCACTAGTAACATCTATCTTTGCCCGATGCACGTGCCTGTGTCATCTAGTTCGTTTAATCAGAGTGTTTATAGTGCTCATTGATTGTTTTGTGTTTTGCCATTTTGAAACAGGGGAATGCATGAGGCCAGTCGATGCTGGAGAAGGAGACAAGGAAGTACACGTCTTCTACTACAATAAACAGGAGAAGAAATGTATGCCATTTATCTACAAAGGTGAAGGAGGCAATAGAAACAGGTTCCCGACACTGCAAGAATGTGAACAGAGATGTGTGAAGAAGAGAGGAAAAGGGAAACCAAAACGCAAACCACATACGCCATCATCACGAGGTATGGCGCAAACCGATAAAGGAATATAGACATTTGAACCACATAATCCAATCCACAGACAAATAAACATGCGTTTCCAAATCTCTTGTTATCTTGTTCTAATACGCTTCAATTGAACAGGAAAATAGGCTACAGACATCTGATGAAGAGAGTACGTGGTGAACGAGCGCACACACACGATTCGGAAATACGATCTAGGATGCAGACGAATAACTGGCAGATTAAAATACACTTGTGGATAGTGAGTCAATAATGAATGATCTGTCCAAAACCTAGAACGATTGACGTAGGCGAAAGATGATATGGAGTGTTTGCTTCACTCGAAAGTTGCGTTTGTTTGCACCAGCTGTATTCTCCAACACGGCTTGATGTTTTGTTGGTTGATTTTGTGTATCCGGATAGACCGGCTAACACAATGACGGAATTTCGTTGTATGGTGACAGATCAACACCAACTGACACTGACACTGACACTGACACTGACACTACGCACTTGGAACTAGCATCCGTATATGAGTAGTTCTTAGATGTTGTTAGGAAATAAAAAGTATAATCGACTTGAGTAAGGTAACGTGTGACATGATTCACAAGTTTGTGAACATATACAACGACTGTAATCTTATAAAACTGAAGCTGATTCTTTAGTTGAAGCCAAAGACAACTGTCATTTTAATTGTCAGCAATCTGTTTACCCTGTAGTGTGTGTGCGATGGTCACAAATATTTGTCAAATTATTCACTTATTAAAGATGGTAAAAGGCTAATAGTGGAATCCATTACATACGTTCAGTCCTAATAGGGACTCGTCAGCTGGATATACTTGCATCGCAGTATTGATGTTTATTCCGGAAGTGAAAACCAGTACAGTTCGCTTCAAGCAACATCCCGTTATTCACTTGGCTACTAAATTCTATTAGTCACTTGTTTGCGACATCTTTGCTCACAATAGTTGTGTATTAGGACATTATCATAGCGGCATGCAGAGTATGCACATATGTCAACAGGAGACTGATCAATTTCAGTCCTAAACATGAATGGGAAGATCCAAGTAGACAATATCAAATGAATTTATTCACTGGTTAGTTTGAATTATTCATACTTCCAAGACTTCACAATAACATGTAGATGAATTCTTTGCAATTAACAAAAATTTAGAACATTCAATAATAAGTTTTGGATGATAGTTCAAAACGTAACAGTAAATTAAAAGAACAACATGAGATAATAAAATTACACGTTTCATTTCACACTGATAAATGAATAAATAAATAAATCTATCGGTGAATCTTAGGAAATAATTAAATGCGCACTGCTGAGGAGTCCCATATTAGGACAAAACGATCGTTCCATGTGTTTTTAGGTTTTCCATGGTGATCTTGCTTCAACCATTAAAAGTCACTACAGTCTCCACAAACGCCCTCTGTAATATTCTTTAGAAATAGTTGACGGTCGAAGGAATATTTTTAGCTTCGTCTAATCTATTTGTCATTTAATCGCATGTTGTATGAAGTCAAATATAATTCAACAAATAACAAAATCTATGTTTCTATCTAAATATAACTAGTATTCTCTGTTTATTCTTCAACAGATAAACAGGAAGTGTTCAAAGTCTATATACATATATGATCAGAGCTAAACATTATTGATTAGAATTGTAAGTAATAATAGATATATCATAAAACATGACCTTGGAACATAAATGTGCTGTTACACATTCAGTTCGTTATCTTAATTATCCATTTATATATGAATATCATGTCCATATATTAAAATAGAAACTTAATAATAGTGTTAGTATAAAATGTATATTCTAGTTATTATACCATTGTTTCTTAACTTGTATCATGTTAGAACTTGGAATGTATACGGATATATGGAATCTCAGATACCAGAGCAAATACATATTGCTTTAGGAGGTAAGTACATCATTGTTTTTTGGATTGTAACCTATCTATCAATCAGCTTCTTATTAATAGTTTTCTAAGCTTACATTAGGAGTCTCTATGAAGTAATAGCTTGAGTACTCGACAGATTTAAATTTCAATGCTATTTTAAGGTAAAAATTCAACCAAAAGTATATTCATTCTTGACACTTTATTTTATAAGTAACAATACATTAAGTCCATATAACGAATGAGTTAGATAGTTTTAGAACCTCATAACACTAACAATAAACATTTTAGATGAATATGTAATAAAACAAGATATAATCAATTTATCTTTTGAGATGATGCATATTTGAGGGTCAATTTAAAAACACAAATACTCAAAGAATGGATGTACATCTATTTGATTATATTTACTTACTTACAGCCTCTGCCAGGGAAGTCTTACTCATTGCCTTCTCATGGCGGGGGTGTTGTTTACGAAAATGAGAGGACGAAAAGCGAATGTCCGGCGCTTTAACCGGATCCCAACCCAATGATGTACATGGGCTCCAGTATCCTGCGGGAACAAATGGCGTATGAACTAATCGTTGGTCACCGGCTATCATGGGACTACATCTCCTTACGATGCTCCACTGCCATGTGGGTTAGACCTTTAGGTCAAAGGCTCGGGGTGTGTTCACCTAAGATAACCACCTGCTTCGGTCTGGGCACCTCGGCAGCATCGCAGCCCACAAGCAAATAATGAACTCTCTATATCTATGGAAATCACTTTACTTGCTTCAACTAACAATCAAATTATTATTATTATTTACCACATTATTCACCCTCTGTTATACTTACACAGCGGCTCGTCTTTGGTGGAATTTCGACTGTATCTAAGCGTTCTCGAATCACTTTCCGGTTGAAAATTGTATGTTACCACTGAATATAAGTGCTGAGGCAGTTTTTCTGAAACCACGTGCATCATTCAAACTGGCTGCCTTCAACGTTCGCACACTTATGCAGGTTGGACAACAGATAGGGCTGGCTATGTCTTTAGAAAGTCTTAATATCGATATCTGCTGTCTATCCGAGACCCGTATTCAAGACTCTAGGTGAAGTGCTACAAATTCGCTCTCCATCTGTCGCTTCGAAAAGCTTGTTTTACGTGCGCTTATCCGGAGACCCTGTGACATCTTCGTCTGGTCTTGCTGGCGTTGTTGTCACACTAAGCGCTAGAGCTGAGGCAGCACTAATCGATTGGATCTCCATTAACAGTCGGTTATGTGCTGTTAGATTAGAAAGTTCCATCAAAGTGAGAAAAAATCGGTGTGAGAAACGATGTCTTTTCGTCATCTCCGCCTATGCCCCAACAGATTGCAGCCCGGATGCAATCAAGGATGAGTTTTACCACCAGTTATCTGTTCTTCTCCAGAGAGTGCGTTCGACAGATATTGTAGTACTAGGCGGAGACTTGAATGCTCAAGTCGGGCATCTAGGCACAGAAGAGAGTCGTTTAGTTGGCCGATGGGGACTCGTTGGTCGCAGGTCAGATAACAGGGACCGTCTACTGCAACTGCACAGACCACAACCTGTTTCTGGCTAGCACTAACTTTCGACACAGTCATCGCCGATGTGCCACCTGGCGTCCTCCCTCTGCATCCCAAGCTTGGACTCAGATTGATCACATCGCGATCAGCTACCGCTGGCGTGGTTGTGTACAAGACTGCCGCTCCTTTTGGAGTACCTATCTGGACTCTGACCATGCCCTGGTCTGCGCCAATCTAACCTTAATTTTCAGTGGACAACGAAGTGACCGCCAACAACGGATTGATGTTAGTAAGCTGGTTGCAGCTTCTGTTGCAAGTAAGTATCGAACCGAGCTAGCCTCTAGGCTAGCTACCACTCCACCGAAAAGTATAGATGAGCATTGGTTGCAATTGCACGACGCCATGAAAATGTCGGGCACAGTCAGTTGTGGGTTCGCGAAACGTCCCGCTTATAAGCACTGGGTTTCTTCAGGCTCCTTACAACTCATTGAAGCCCGTCGGTCTACTCCGGGTGACCGTGAGTTTGACCATAAACGAAGGATGTTACGTAAGGAAAGTGGGCAAACCTTGCGTAAGGACCGAGAAGCCTGGTGGTCAAATCGTGCTAATGAGTTGGAAGCAGCAGCTGCATCTGGTATGTACCACCTCTCTCCATTGTTCCATTCGAGCAGTGTGGTTAGGCATGGTTGCCCAATCTCACCATTCCTCTTCAACTTTGCCATCGACGACATTCTGGAAACAGCTCTGATGGATGTAAGTGATGGTGGTGTGGATCTGTTGCCTGGAGAAAGATTTCTCGACCTTTAGTATGCGGATGATATTGTCTTACTGTGCGATAATGCCCATGACATGCAATCCGCACTTAATCAGTTGGCAATCAGTGTCCGTACGTATGGTATGTGCTTTGCACCTTCGAAGTGCAAAGTACTTTTACAAGACTGGCAGGATTCTAATCCTGTACTCACCCTGGATGGTGAGCAGATAGAAGTAGTCGAGAAGTTCGTGTATCTGGGTAGCTGCATAAGTGCTGGTGGGGGTGGTGGTGTGAGTGATGAGATCAATGCACGAATAGTGAAAGCCAGAGCGGCTTATGCCAATCTGGGCCATCTTTAGCGCCTTCGTGATGTTAGTCTGGCTGTAAAAGATCAGATCTACAACGCGTCGGTGAGAGCAGTCTTGCTCTATGCTTGTGAAACCTGGCCTCTCCGAGTTGAGGCTGTTAGTCGACTCTTTGTGTTCGATCATCACTGTCTCCGAAGGATTGCTGACATCCAGTGGCAACACCATGTCAGTAATGCAGAGCTTCGGTATCGTGTGTCCGGGCACAGAGATGACAATGCAATCCATGCCACCATCTTGAAACACCGACTTCGGTGGCTTGGACATGTTCTCCGAATATCGTCCCAGAGAATTCCACGTCGTGCATTATTTACCGACTCTGGGACTGGTTGGAAGAGGCGGAGACGTGGTCAGTGCATGACATGGTATCGGGGTATGAAAGAAAGCTGCAAAGGGCTAGCTTCTATTGGTCCTTCACGACTCTCTGGCTGGGGTCCGAGAGATGGTGCTATACAGTGGCTAGAGACGTTATCAGATATGGCTCAGAATAGAAGCCAGTGGCGATCCTGCTGTAACCTTCTTTTACTTTCTTCATAAAAAATGTGGTTGTATCTTCCTTAACTGAGAGATTTCTTCTGATTGTACCTTTCCGTTCCCTTATTATTATTATTAATATTACTACGCTACCTTACACTAATCTGTTCGTTATTGTTCCCTTTTTTTCACGCTCTTTACCTCTTTTTCTTTCTCTTCGAATTCTCATTGTTTTGTGTGGCGCATATATATTGGCGCTCTCTTTTACCAATATTTATGTGTTCAGATAAATAAATACTTACTTACTTATGCCTGTTGCCCCTCGAGCAGGAGCGTTGGTCAACTACCAGTATCCTCCGTCAAACTCTGTCCTGGACAATCCTTTCAAGTTGTTTCTGGTTGCTATTAATCCTTTCCATGTGTGTTTCCAATTCCCGACGCAGTGTGTTCATTGGTCACTCTGGTTCTCAATGATTTCGGTTCAGAACAGTAGAACTGTCATGAATCTCATATTGAAGATTCTGACTTTAACAATGGTTGACAGATAGTTGTTTTGAGTTCCATATGCTTTTCAACAGTAAGAATTTCTCCCTTCCTTTGCTAATCATTACTTTCACATCTATTTCAGATCCTCCGCGTTCATCGGTGATGCTATCCAGCTAACTGAACGTTTCTACCTTTTCCAGAGCTTCTCTCTAAAGTTTTATTAGGTTACTCTTTTCCATGTTATATTTGACGATCTTGATTTTTCCCTCGTGTATGTTGTGGAGATTATTATGTTTTTAACTGAGATTATGGGCCGATTGATGTTAGACCACAATTGAAAACCTGGAAGCACTAGACGGCCGTTTCATCCTATTGTGGGACTTCTCAGCAGTGAGCAACCACCAACCCAGCACCTTTGGTCTCGCGCTCGAGCGCGTAACCTTTAGATCACTGAGCCGGGATCCAACGGTGTTAATGTCCAACCTCGACCAATCCACGAAATTGCGCGTCCATCTCCATTGTTAATAATATTATACTAAATGACCAATTTATTTAAAGTTATTGTCAATTCTTGACATTGATAGAGTACTTTTCTTCCAACACAAATGTGCATCTAAGTTGAAATTTTTGTACATACAAACGGAGGTTTTAAATAGTAAACCAATTTATTCATAATAAAAATCATTCGGAAATGTTGTATGACACCTCTGTATAGCTAGGCACTGAAACAGTGTTAACTGTTTCTATGAACATGATTCAATTGTTCATTTTGATGAATCTTTTTGTGAAGATGTTTAACATCATATAAATAACAGTATTTTTGTATCATAGAGCAACCATCCACCATAAGTATTACTTGGGTTACACAAGAAAATACAGAGAGTTCAACTGTACTCTATGGTACTATGCTGTTAAATATGAAAAGTACTGGCTACGTTAAAGAGTTTATTGATGGAGGACGTGAACAACGCAAAATGTATATGCATCGAGTGATCTTATCCGATTTAATTGGTAATACAACTTATTGTAAGTTTGAAAAGTCGTTCTGTAAATAAAAAGGATTTTTTTCTTTACTGACATCCACAGTTTGTTAATATGATAACCTTTCTGAATATATATCTCTTTCTTATAAATGAATCATATCTGACAGCATTTATTCATACCTCTCCTGAAAAAATGCTGAGTCGTCGATTTCTCATGGCTACAACACTGAGTTTAGACAAATCATAAATCAATCGAACTTAATCTCCTAAAATAAGTAATTCTGTCCTAAGCCTTAGCAGGATTATTGTGATCTCAATCCTGGATAGAGGAAGAAAGTTAGGCCTGGAGTAAGCGACCCCAAACAGTAATAAAAACCTTTCTCAATAAAGGTTTTCTAGGATGAAACCCATGAAATTTCAAACTTAATGCCACATTTTATCTGGTACGATTGTGATTTAGAGGTCTCAGATAATAGTTAGCATGAAACTGGTTTTTGATTTATTGCTGATCGCCATGAAACACTTAAAATTAAAGTCAAGAGCATACTCTATAGTTTGTCTGACAATGCACGACCAACAGACTAGACACATTTAGGAATGGTTGACGTTCGTTAGTTAATATCCCAAATCTATGTGAATTCATTAGCTGATAGACAACAAATTAGTAACATCCCTGAAAGAGTCGATACTATTCTGAGTGTCAAATTTCCTCTCAGCAGAGAGGAGATTAGTTGTACAAGATGAATTTTATCGTAATTAGTAAAGTTTCTGCATAGGCTACCTTTTTACTGGCACACAAGCATAAGCAATGAAGTAATCGATATCATTTTATTTCAAATGACTTAGTAATGAACTGAGGACTAAAATGATTTTTCAGTTTAAGTAGCAGTGTCAGGTGTCAAACTCAGATAGTCTTTGGGCTTATCATATATTTTTCGCTTTGCAGATTATAAATGTGGTAGTTTAGATGGTTGGTCAGATGTTTTGAAATTTCGTGCTCTCCCATCTCATCCTTATTGGTCACCTAAAATAGCAGTTTATGGAGATATGGGGACAACTGATGCACTTTCACTACCCGAACTAATTCATCAAGTCAAAGATTTAAATAGTTATGATGTGGTATTACATGTTGGTGATTTCGCCTATAATATGGATTCAGTAAGTAACTAACATTCAACCTATTAATAACAGAAACACTGGCTAAAGACCGATGCCGTATTTTAGTGGAGTAATACTGGTAAACAAGCATCTCTAGACGGAATATAGCACACTATTTGAAGATTTTTAAAATCATATGCCAACGGTGTTCATGAGATTTCAGAAAGATGTCGTTTTCCAGTTTGATATAGCCTTTGGAACTATCCAAGAGTATATCCAATGGTCACTTCTATATTTGTTAGTAAATGTCCATTAAGTGCTCTATATTATTGCCCAGAAAAGGTTTATGCACATGAATAATGCTCGTTATATAATTTGTATACTTTGTTAATTATATTTTAATGGTAGTTTCTAGGCTAAATTATTTAAAACGCGTATAAACCTTGAAAAATAACTTTAGTAATGATCGGTAATGAGTGAAATCATATTTAGAAGTAATATAGCTGAATAGAAACCTTTTGTATGTTAGTTTATCTACCAACTATACAAATAGCTTCTTTATTCTGGGAAAGAAATTAGAACAATGTGCTTCACTTTCTGACAAAATCATTCCTAGGTTTAACTTAAAACGTCCGCTAGTAAATGTTTATGAACTTACCTATTTACAAAAGTGTTTAGTGGCCCCTGGATATCTGACTCCAGTTAGATCAGACGAATGATCGTTATCGAATAATGGCTGTCGAAATATATATGTCGCCAATCCTCGTATATAATGAACAACTTGAATCGCGTTAGTAAATAACGGAACTAAATAAGTTAAATGCGACAATGAAATTTTGAATACATATATTTTGTAAACTCGTTGATCTGGACAATCGGGGAGACGATGTGAAGGAAGCAAAGAGAAGTGAGAGAAGCGAAATAACGCGCAGTGGAGAATGCGTGTGAGCCAACTCGATTTAATCAAGCGTTAATCGATATTTCTAGTCACAAAAAAATAAGTTACAGACATGTAATGAGTAAGATGGCAAATGTACACACATACGCTCATATAAAATCAGTCAAGGTTGATAAGTGATTAATGAAGAAGGTCAAAATGTGTAAGCTAGAATAGTCAATGTGTGCTTAACATAGCAACCGACACTATAACAAATACTGATAACTACCAGAAGCGGTTTTGTGGAGATTGTAGTATTTTCAATGGTTGAGATGTTTCGCTCGATTTCGTGGACTAGTTGAAGTTAGACACTAACACCGTTAGATACCGTCTCAGTGGTCTGGAGTTTAAGCGCTCACTAGCGAGGCTGATAGGTCCTGAGTTCAAATCTCATGACGGAGGGTTGTGGATACGCACTACTGAGGAGTACCACAATAGAACGAAACGACCGCCCAGTGTTTACAGGTTTTCCATGGTGGTCTAGCCTCAATTGACACATGATTTGAACTATTGAAATTACTGATAACATATTTCTATGATCCATTCTTTGAATTTTAGTATTTCAATATGAGAAAATAAAATCAATTTGATAGACTGGTAGATATGCACTTCATTTATTTGATTCATGAGTCGAAAATGTAGATGTAGGGATAACAAAATGAGAAGTCATTTTATTATTGGATAGATATGAAAAACATCAAAATGTGTCGTTGGAAACATGACCAGAACAGTACAAACAGCTGCCCTTAACTCTTTACAGTTTCTCCATTATTGATACTCAACTAAACAAGATGTTCTTTGTCAGTATAGTAAATTCTTGATAAAAATGCTTAACATCAATTTCTGCACTACATTGTTAGTAATTGTAACCTTTGTGTGTCGCAATTGAATATTCTTACTCTTATAAAAGTAACGTTGAAAAGTCTTTCAATAATTTGATGTTTTTCATGTTGAAACTAAATTTCAGGATAACGCAAGAGTTGGTGATCAATTTATGCGTAATATACAACCAATTGCATCAAAAGTTCCTTATATGACATGTGTTGGTAACCATGAAGCTGCTTAGTAAGTAAACAAACTTTGTTTAATTTATTTTCAATTAGGTTCTTAGTTTTCTACAAGGAAAATTAAACAGTAGTGTTTTGATGAAGGAGAACGCAGGTGGGAACAATCAGAGTTACTTGATAAAATAGAAAGACCATACTCCAATACTTCACATGCAAAATGTTTATTAAGTGTCACAGACTTCATTGTTCCTGCATTTTCATACGAATTGCTTTCTGTTCCAGTTCTTCCCTCCTCAATCTTCTCAACCTTCTGCTTCCAGACATTCTATTCCTGACTAGCGTTATATACTACTCATGTGGACATAAGTAGCACATACCACAGTATAACAATTTTTGATCTCAATAATTGGAATTCATTTTGAAATCCATAACATGGTACACTAACATATTAACTTGGTGAAAACATGAATTAAGTGAATGAACAGTGCTAAGTTAAACAGTTTTCAACTGGCTGACATATAATTTCTCAATCAGATGTGAAAATAAAATCCACACTGCAATGTCAAAAACGTTCTCGATTCAGTAGGATTAAGCATGGATATGTACGATTTTTACATCTCATACTCGAAATAAAAATTTTGGTTTTGTTATCGACTGTTGAAAAACTGACTTAACTAAGTCACCTTCATCTGACAGTAGTTTACTTTGTACTGTTTTAACTTTATGGTTGAATTCATGAGTCAATTGAAGCGAGACCACCATGGAAAACCTGCAAACACTGGAAGGCCGTTTCGTCCTAGTATGGGACTCCTCAGCAGTGCGCACCAACGATCTCGCTCGCCAAATTCGAACCCAGGATCTTCGGTCTAGCGCTCGAACGGTTAACCTCCAGACCACTGAGCCGGTATCCAATGGTGTTAATGTCCAACTGTTAAAAAATAGACAAACTACTTTTATAGTATCAATGGGTTGTGCATAAAGTCATATGCATCAGTGCCTTGTTATATAATTTTACCAATATGAATACTGACAGTAATGTATTCTGTTTAAAAAATTACTCATTTACTTACGCATGTTACCCCTCGTGGATGAATATAGGCCCTCCTACTGCACTCCCCATCCAAACCTGTCTTGAGAAATCCCTTCCAGTTCTTTCAAGTTGCTATTCATCCTTATCATATCTGCTCCCAATTATCGACGCAATGTGTTTCTCTTCAGCATTCCAAGTCACAGATTGTCTCGTGATGCAGTTTGTGGATTCCCGCAGTGTATATCCTATCCACTTCGAAAGTCATTTTCTAATTCCATCTTCAGCTCAAATTTGGTTTGTTCTCATTCACAGAAGGCTGTTCCTGATGGTATCTGATGAACACCAGTTGAGTATTTTGCGTAAACAAGTGTTTATCAATACTTTTATGTTTTGATAATGGTTGTGATACTGCTCCACGTTTCAGCTCCATACAGTAGATCTGCCTTGATGTTCGTAATGAAGATTGTGACTTTGATATTGGTTGACAGACAGTTGTTTTGTGTTCCACATGTTCCTGAATTGTAGGAATGCGGCCGTTGTCTCCTAGTCCTGTTAATACAATACTAGGTAAATAAAAGAAAAGTTTTTGTACTAAGTGTACGATTACTAGTTGATAGAAAGTCAATTGACAACAATTCCTTAAAATAAAGAAATAGATTATCATGATTTAACAGCTAATTAGTACTTTCTTCTTTAATAAACGCTTTTTTTTAGCAATTTCTCAAATTACAAAGCAAGATTCACAATGCCTGGAGGTGATGGCGAATCACAATTTTATAGGTAAATCAACATTGCTATCTAATAATACTGAAAAAATTTATCAATGTAAATGGACAACTTGCCAATTTATATCACTTTTTTTCAATTTTTCATTAATGTCCGATTAAAACAGAAATTAAACCTTTGAAACCAATTAGCTATACGTTTGTTTTGATGTTCCAAATATGTTGATGCTAAAGAAGTAGAGCACTTTATTATTATTATTATTATTTGAACAAATAAATATTGGTACAAAGGGGCACCGAATACATATGCGCCACATAAATAATGCGATTTGTGTGACAGCTGGGATACCGCGCGGACACTCAGACCAAAGCAGGTGGTTTTCCTTGGGGGACCGCACTCAGAGCCTTTGACCCAAAGGTCTGATCCATAAGGCAGAGGAGCAACGTAAGGAGATGCAGTCCCATGGCAGCTTTCAGGATACTGGAGCCCAAGCACGTCATTGCTTTGGAATCAAGGTACTTCAACCAGATTAAAGCGCCGGACGTTCACTTTTTGTACTCTCAGTTTCGTAAACAACACTCCTGGTGCGAGAAGGCATTAAGTAGGACTTATCTGATAGTGGCTATATACGCGTGACCAAGTGAGAGCACTTGGAAAGGGAGAGCAGACTCTCCACACCATCGACTGTACCAGGGCATTCGGGTGCAGTGAGAAGTCGTAGACCTTTCATAAACGTTCCTACATAGGTTATGCGGTTAATAGACATTATGATGTGCTAAAACAAGCAAAAACAGATAACTTGTTGAAATATTCAGATAGCAGGAACAGTAACCCAGTTATTCAAGCAGGCCACCTGAACTATTATTCAGATGATATTATCATTTTAACAAACTCATACAATATTTAGCAAAATATAAATGAGCTTACTATGTGATCATTCGTGTATCTTTTAAATGAAATAGACAGAAGCTTTACTAATAAAACCAATATTTGACACATGTATGGAGATTTATTTTTTACTAATTTATTGGCAAAACAGTTTTTCAGCGCACACAAAACTTATGATCGAAATATCAAGATGTAAGCATGCAATATCCATGTACCTATAAAAATTTTTGCTCTGGTTGTTAGAAGGTGCATCGGCCTCGTGGCTTCAGAAGAAACTCGGCTTTCACCATGAAGCGTTATAAGTCTTCTAAATGAAGAACTTCTAACTCCAAGGACAGGGTTTAAATGGTTCGAAGTATTTTTTCTGGTTAGCGTTTTTTTAGCGAGTTAGTTTTCTACGGGATGAGGTCGCCAACTACATCCCCAACCCTCCTCCTTTACCAGGGCTTGGGACCGGTAGTAACTCTAGAAGAGCTACAGGCACACCAGGCTTATGATCCGAATATCAAGATGTGGGCATCCAATGAAATTATCCTTCTATGTTGCTTTTGATAGGGTTTTTTCCAGATTTTACTAGACATCGCATTACACTTTGGATGATCCGTATGTGTAAAGGTCAGCTACGTTTTGCAGCGATGATAAGACGGTAAAAGTAATTGAAAATATATCAGCAAAAAAAAAGAAACATGCATAAAAGTCGACTAAGTTATGATGCTTTCATTAGGTTTCTACACTACAAGAAAAACTTATAAAGATAATTGACTTCTTATAATTTCAAGAGATTGAATGACTTCCGAAATGAACTAACAACACATTTTTAATTTACTTTCATTTGCCTTCATGATGGATACTGTTATGAGAAACGTATTATCATACTTTATACACTTTTAGTTTTAACGTTGGACCAGCGCATATTGTGGCATTTTCTAGTGAATTATATTACTTTTTATTTTATGGATGGAAAACATTAGTGATGCAATATGATTGGTTGATTAAAGATTTACAAGTAAGATTAATTTCCTATAATATGTCATTAAGCTATGTGTATTATTTTGTCTACGGTGATGCTTTTAGAAAGCTTACAACAAATGCGACCCACAAACTTGTTTGAAAAAGTCAAGATAATTAATTATTCATAAGAAATTCAGTTTAGTATTGATAAATCATTGAACAACCAACCCAAATGACTATTCTCGAATAGGACGAAATGTACATCCAAGATTCCACTGCTAGCTTCCATTCATCCTTGCTTATAATGCTTGTGACTTAAGGCAGTATTGAGGTGATCCGCTCAAGATACATACATGCCAATAAGAGACTGACCAATTGCAGTTCTAAACATCAATGGAAAGATTCAAACAAACAATACAAAATGAATTTAATTGTAGTTTGTCTATAAAATATGTATTGAATAATACTTAGTAAATGGCTTTGGGCTAAATCATTAAAAGCATTCTAGTCTATTTAGAAGCACAATGTGAATCCTGAATCGCAACAATATTGGAGTGAAATATAAATTAAAACAGGTTTCGTCACACAAATCTATAACACTTGAACTCATTAAACTACAATAGTCAGTAACTATAACTAAAACGAGAATATTAATTTTATCAAAAGTTTAACTTTTTGAAACTGACATTAATGTATTCCAAAATATCATCATATATGAAATAAATTATTTGGTGAGACTATAATTTATGGACGACAATCGAGTGACGCTAAACTGACTCTGAGAGTGTTTACCTACTTACTAAGGTTAAATGATGGTTAAAAAGCAGTTTGAAGAATAAATATTATGATTCACTATGGACGGTTAGGGTTAGGAATTAAATTTACGGTTTCTCATCACCAACTGACATCAGCTAATATACCAAGACGCTATTTGGCCAAATGGATGAGTGAATTTCGCGCCAAAGTCTTAAAACCCTTATCCTAATTCTGATTGGCTCGTCCATAATTTAGAGTCTCGACATAAACTTCAGGATATCACATTTTTGAGAAATGACACACTTAAAATTGGATTATGATTATTTGAATAGGTATTAATTTTACACCAAGAAACATATGTTCTGAATTTTATGCTTAGTAAGTTAGCGGTCAGTTTATGGAATTTTGCTTGAACATATATATATATATATATATATATATATATATATATATATATTGATATATATATGTCACTGAATACTCAGGGGATTAGTTACTAAGATAGTCAGTTACACAACTTTAGTCATGCACACTAATAAATAACCTGATTTCTGATCGTGTTTATGTTTAGGTTTTAATTTGATTCTCTCCATCGAATTTGCAATGAGGTTATAGAACTATGTCGATAAAAAAACCCATGTAATGTAGATGAATAGACTTTTTATGTATACGTTGACAGCTGTACAGTATTGACTAATGACAACACATGAGAAAATCAAGTCTACAAAGATAAACATCTGCCTTACCAATAAATGAGATAAAATTATTTCGTTCAGATGAGTAAATTCCATCCTACTTTAAACACTTGAACAATTCACTGTATTTTGGTGTACCACCATGTTTGTAAATCGGTAGTTTATCCGTTTGATTCACAATACTATTAGAAAAGTAAAATGAATATTAAGATTATGACCAAACAGTTTGTTGTTGAAAGAAATTCACAATCGAGTATCGAACCTTTTAAAATATAACTCTGGTATTTTTACTTGAATTAGTTAATTAAATTAAAAAAATCCCTCAGATGTGTCTGAATACTTTATTTATATGGATTTTGAAAAGTGAATAAATGATACTACTCACACTGTTGTCAACATGGACACTGTGGATTGATTGAATTTAGACATTAACACCGTTGAATGCCGGCTCAGTGGTTCAGAAGTTAAGCTTTCGCGTTCGAATCACGTTAGGCGGGATCGTGAATGCGTATTTCTGAGGAGTCCCATACTAGGATGAAGCGGTCGTTCAGTGTTTCCAGATTTTTCACGATGGTCTAGCTTTAATTGACTCATGAATTCAACTATTAAGTAGGTTTTTTGTTTAGAAAGTTTATTTTTATGAATAACTCAATTGATAGTAAATAGTAATATGTAAATTAGATATCTATATAATGACAAATAAATCTGTACAACAGTAGGTCATTAAAGTGAGAAATATTTCATTATAATCGTTATAAGATTCATTTCAAATTACTACAATTACAAATAGTTCAAGAGGACTTGATTATCTGCAAGTTAGTTAGTAAATTTGTACGTTTATATGAACTGTTTATATGAACAATTCTCACAATCCTTCTGCATTGACAATAATCCTCTATTTACCGGTGACTAATTTTGAGACTTGATTCTAAAAGTTGTAATGGATAGTGATGATTGTTACGATTCAGACACAGTAGCTATGAGTTAGTTTACTACTGCAATAAATAGAAGACGATTGCACAACATCTTGAATTGATTGTAGTTGATTATGTAAAATGTTAGATGCAAGTTTGGTGAGCTAGATGAATTCGATCGATGGTGGATCATATATATACATTTCGAACTAGTCTGATATTAGAACGACATAGCGGTCTATCACTTCCTAGTTTTCAAAGTTTGCCTAAATAAAAGTAGCCTTTGATGTAAACTACAAAAATTTGAACATTCCAAAATCATGGGCTTAGTTTCATCGGAACCCTGAAAGCCAATCAAAAAAACAAATAAGATGTCAATTCTCTTAGATTCATTGTAAGAATGCTAGATTTACAGGACGTAGTTACCAGTCCTTTAACATGTTGATTTAAACATTAATTATATGTTTTGTGTTCCATTTGTGAGAGTTTTGAAGTGAAATGTTTTGTGTATCATATACATGTTTGATTTTCATAAGTTTATAATTTCACTCTTCATACTTACTTGACAGACAGTTTTGTCGCGCTTATTTCTTTCAAGGAAGCGAATAAACCAGAAAATCGAAAAAATCATCCATGGATTATTGTAATAGGTCACAGACCAATGTATTGTTCAAATAATTTTGATCCAATGCATTGTGATTTTGAAAACAATATTGTACGCACCGGATTCGACATATCACCTGACCATCATAAAAATGTATATCTTATGGGATTGGAAAGCTTATTTTATCAGTATGGTGTGGATTTAATCATTGCTGGTCATGAACACTCATATGAGAGATTTTGGCCAGTTTACAACAGAACCGTAAGTCTATATATATAGGTCATGCGGTTGTAAGTGATTGTCAAGAAATACTTGAACTATGTTTCGTGTTAATAACCATTCTTCAGCATAAATTACAAATAACCAACTGCTCATTAACAATGTATTTTATCACTATCGCAAAGGGATTTTGTGGAGATTGTAGTAATCTAGTAATTTAACTCATAAGTCAATAAAAGCTAGACACCATGGAAAACCAAGTAGTCTGCATCTACCAACATGGATCAGACCAGAAGTTAGTGACTCCAAGCACTGAAGCCACGTTTTTGGTTTGGCCGCCCCTAATTTTCTTCCAACCATCCTGAACACTAGTCAAATATTTTTCATAAACATGATGTAATCTACAATTATATTTACTTATTTTCATTAAACTATTTGATGTGTGTATATAAACTAGTCAATATATTCAATAATCAACTCAATATTATTGAATAAATATCTTAGTTACGTGTAGTTATTTCTTATGGTTACATCTTTAGCATATTACATCCAATGACAATGTTTTTAACATATTGTATACTTAATACTTCTTGTATAACTTGGATAAACTGTTCCATTTATTTATCTGATAATCTATCATATGGCTCTTGTCTCATAACTTTAATTAAATCAAAGTTATGATTAAACTGTCTCCGAATGCCCTGGTACGACCGAGGGTGGGGAGAGTCAGCTCTCCCTCTCCAAATGCTCTCACATGACCACGCGTATACAGCCACTGCCAGTGAAGTCCTACTCAATGCCTTCTTGCGTCATTACTGTTGTTTATGAAATTAAGAGGACGAAAAGAGAATGTCCAGCACTTTAATCGGGTTGGTGGACATGGAGGGTTCATCTAGGGGAGTTGAAAAACCCCGATTCCAAACCAATGGTGCACATGGGCTCCAGGATCGTGAGGCAGTAAATGACGTATGGACCAATTGTTGGTCACCTGCTACCATGGGACTGCATCTCTTGACGTCGCTTCACCCCCTTAGGTCGAAGGCTGCGGGTGTGGCCTCCTAAGAAGACCACCCGCTTCGGTGTGGGTACCCGTACAGTATCTCAGCCCTCACAAAAATCGGACGATTTATGTTCCGCATATCTGTTTGGTGCACCTTTGTACCAATATGTATTAGTCCAAATAAATAAAATTGATTAAATTAATAACATTGAACAATTTTTCAGTATTATCACTAATCAAATGTTCATATTTCAGGTTTGTAATTCTACAACGAGTCAAAATCCATACAATAATCCAAACGCTCCAATACATATTGTTAGTGGAGCTGCTGGATCAAATGAAGGTAAAGATACATTTATATATGGTGGGAAACCTTGGTCTGCATTTCGAACAACTGATTTCGGATTTACTAGAATGACGATACATAACGTTACTCACTTAGAAATTGAACAAATTTCAGTGGAAAATGTAAATGTTATTCTCTTATTTATTTAAATACTGAAATTAATTAATATTTCTTATGTGTATTTCCAGATAACAAAGTAGGATGCCTATCGGTTGATATATCAAGTTGGAATTATGAAACAATCATTTCGTCATCAACTTGAAATAACCCTGGTAATATGAAGTGAACTGTAGATAAATCCTTCAATAAATCATGTTGAAAGTTTATTAACTGACTGTATCAAACTTTGACTCATATGGATAACATACTAGGATGTTTATTAATATGTTTATTTCATGCAGGGGATAATGCACCAAAAGAAAAATACTTTTTAACTGAATTACCAGTGATGTATTCGATCACAGTCAACAGTTCAATGGGCAAAATAAGTTTTGTTTATTTCCTACCATAAAAATGATCTTTTATCAACTTATCAAATATAGAATGTATTATTTAAAGAAAATCTATATGTGTAAAAATATTCAACTGCATACTTTATAAACATTAACTGCACTGAGATGGTGAAGATTTGTAGCTCAGGTGGATGATTTTGGTGAAGTTTTGTTCGCTGACCACGACCAAACCATCCAGCTCAGAGAACAAAACTCCACCAAAATTAACTGCACTATTTGATTTCATACATAAGCTCAATCTATGGTTCAATGATAAACGGAAAATCTTCAAAAACACACAACAAACGTTTTGTTCCCTGCGAATTTCAGTTACTGGAAAGTTTATCTAATGAGAATAAAAATTTGACGTTCTATAATTATGAACTCCAGTTGTAATATTATCACTGAAGTTTGGAAAACCAACAATTTGAATAATATCAATGGTTAAAATTATGAGTCAGTTGAAGCTAAAACACCATACTGAACATGGAAGCACCGGACTCTTCAGCAGTGCCCTTTGAATAATGAATAATCGCTCAAAAATAACTTGTTATTATTTTATAAATAAAATAATATATTTGTAACATCTCAATGAGTGGAAAAATTAGATCTCCTGATGCTTCGTGACTCGGTGTAAGCCACTTCTTCAGAGAATAAATAATCAAATCGAAATTAATTCAAGTTTAAATAGTACTAAGGAAACAATACAAGAATATTATATGCGATCAACCATAAAACAGATCTAAACAATTCAAGATTGAAAAGAAGTGGCTGCCATTGAGTTACGAAACGTCAGAAAATCTAGTTTTTCTACTCATTGAGTTGTTACAAAAATATTAGTTTACCTCATAACAAACCGTCCAATTACACGCAATTAGTTCCCGTTATGAACTTAAATAAGGCCAGAACAAATATTGATGCAGAATAATATGAATTCACTATGTTTCGTGGTTTCTCATCAGCTGCTTACAACCAAATATGTATTAGGATTTTACATTGAAGTAAGAAATAGTATGGAACAATAGACATAAATGAACGTAAAGCATTGGAATGACAAAGGTTATCAATGATAACTATATATATATATATATATATATATATATATATATATATATATATATGCAAGGACAGGTCAGAGGTTATTTGGTGTTAGAATCAAAGAAACATTAAGGATGGTGATGTAATAGTTGAGTGGAGTTCAATGACAGATAAGATAAATTGTGTGACAATTTTAGAAGTAATGAAGGGTTTACATAAGATTCATGAAATTCAAAACTGATAAGATGGGTTACATAATAATTGAATAGACTTTGAAGAGTTCACATAATTTAAGAGAATCAAGTGAGTGGAAGTGTATGAGTGAAGAGGTGGTTTAAGAATTCAGTAATGGAAGAAGAATATAACTCAAAGTAAACATTAACAAAATAAAAATAATGACCAAAAAATATGGATTACCAGGGAAGTAATAAGTTTAATAATGTCTCTTTCCGAACACATAGATCCAGTTTGAGTTTTTTAATTACAATCGCTTCGGCAAAACGGGGAGAAGCCGTATTTCTTTGTCTGCAACTAATTTCAAAAGCTTGAGGAATGTTAATGGTATACGCGGTGTGAAGTAAATACCGAGCTATTACACTGTTGAGAGCCCTAGTCCTTCACATTCTCAATTTCTTTGGAATGTGCTCATAAATGAGAACATGTACTCTTCTCTCGGTTCTTCCAATGTATGTGCTCCAGATATATACGTAAAATTCTAATACATATTTGGTTGTAAGTAGCTGATGAGAAACTACGAAATATAATGAATTCATATTATTCTACATCAATATTTGTTCTGGCTTTATTTAAATCTATCCCATGCTCAATTTATTCGAAATTATCATGTAAGGACACCGACAAACTCATTGTTATCCTTTTTAGTAATATTTATGTAAAAATGATTAGTTCTTATTTATTACAACTAAACATCAATCGATTACTGATAATGAACAGTTTGAATTCTATCAAGAAGTGATTGAACTTAGAATAAACCTTCAATTAATTAGTTAATTATTTATGTGTAAATGAAAGTTTCAAAATTGTTCCTATCAAACCATAATCAAAACTAAGCTAACCTGTCTCGACAAAATCAGCTCGATTTCTATGATTATTTTATGTGACAGATGAGATGCTTGAGTCAATCATTTATCCCTTTTTGTTATAAGAGCTTCCTAACGTTCTTGTAACTTGTAATTGTTCAATTATGCAAACGATATAAAGCTTTACAAAAGGAACAGTTTCTGTTCTACACTTTTACTAGTGAAAACTATTCTGAATGTTGTTTACTGCAATATTCTGTTTCGTACTTCACGACTTTATGACGTAAGATATATCATACTCTATTTTCTAGTCAGGATAGTATAATCTATCGATTTATTCATATAAATGATAATCAACTCGAAATAATATATAAATTGCATAATTGATAGGGTAATTGTTAAGTTTGCTACTTGATTAACATAGTATACGGGTTACGACTATGACATTAGAACGCTGAACTTCCCCGTCGCAAATCAGAAGACAGAAGAAAAGCTGGAGAAGTGTTTATTTGGTAAGAATCAAAGTGTACAGAAAATCACAGGTATTTATAGATATTAGCATTTGTTAAATCAATATTATATATTGGCCAATCCGCTAAAGGACATCTTATGCTACTGACTAATAGTAGTACGCCACATTGATATTCTAGAAAGCTCCATCGTGTTTTGATTGGCTGGAAATCTTCGGCTCCTTTAAGGCCTCTGGAGACTCCGTTGTAGTTCTCGGAAGCCGACTCAACAGTAAACACCAAATCTATAGATCAACAACGATTTAATAGAACTAACCTTCATAAAACAAAACAGTTGCATTTAACTCTTAAAATTAAATATCATTTGCTTTTGATCAGAACTTTTATAGTTTTTACAATGAATGATTCAGCTTAACTGTATTTCATAATTAACGTTTATTGTGTTTATTTTTAACATTTTTAAAGGAAAGAAAAGGTCAAGTAATTGATTCCTTTACAATCATCAAGGATCAACATGGAGCAGGTTTATATACTTGTCATAATAAAGATTCATTTGATTACAACAGTATTATAGATGTTTAATTGTTGTTGTTATATAATTCTCAACAATCAATATATTATTTCCCTCTTTCAAACCCTGTGATTATTAATTTTGAGCAAAATATACATTTTTTCAGAAGAGGTTTTGTGGAGATTTTAGAAATTTCATTAGTTGAAATCATGAGTCAATCGAAGCTAGACCGCCATGGAAGACCGGGAAGCACTGGACAGCCGTTTCGTCCTATAATGGGACTCCTCAGAGATGCACGTTTTTCTGTTTCATTATGTTAGTCTTCAATGAAATATGATTACAGATGATTGTTAGTTGTGAAGTACTGACCATTTATATATACCTGCTTCTCATTGGCTGAATACAATCAATAATGTTTTGAAATTGATATACAATTAAGGTTTAACATGATTTTAGAATTGAGGTTTGTTAGAATTTGCTTTAGACACAAATTTCACTAGAGTAACATGATGCAAGTGAAGATTATGTACAAATATAGTACTGAAATATCAGTTAGGATCTAAGCAAAAGATTCTTATGCTAATGGTAACTGTGTTCATAAATAAATTATTTAACACAAATGATTGAAATAAGAGTTTAATACAGTCAGATTAAAAAGTGAAAATAAAATTTTGGGAATATCAGGAAAATAGTTTAGTTTTGTAGTATAATGAAAAACAGATCAAAAGATATTACTAACGCCTGTTACCCCTCATGCAGGAGCATAGGCCGCTCACCAACATTCTCCATCCGACTCTGTCTTGAGCACTCCTTTCCAGTTGTTTCCAGATATTATTCATCTTTTTCATGTCTGTTCCCAATTCTCAATGCTGTGTGTTCTTTGGCCTTCTTCTCATACGCTTTCCTTCAGGATTCCAAGTTGGCGCTTCTCTCGTGATGCCGTTCAGTTATTTCATTATTGTGTGTCCTATACACTCCCAACATCTTTTCCTAATTTCTTCCTCATCTGGAAGTTGGTTTGTTCTGTTCCACTGTAGGCTGTTTCTGATGTTATTCAGCCAGCGGACATTGAGTATATTACGTAGACAACTGTTTATCAATACTTGTACGCTTTGATGATGGTTGTTGTAGTTCATCACGTTTCAGCTTTATACAGTGAGACCGTCTAGCCGTTCGTATTGAAGATTCAGACTTTGACATTAGTTGTCAGTTGTTTTGAGTCCCATATGTTCATCAATGGTAGGAATGCTGTCCTTAATTGCTGATCCTTGTATTTACGTTTGCATCAGATCCTGCACGTTCATCGATGATGCTACCCAGATATGTGAAAATTTCCACCTTTCTAGTGGTTCTTCAACAAATGTAACTGGGTTGGTGTTCTCCGTGTTGTTTTTAGGGTCTTGCTTTTTCCCATGTGTATGTTGAGGCCTACTGATGCAGAGACTTCTGGTGCACTAGCTGTCTTCATCTGCATTTGTTAATGTGTATGGGATAGAAGGGCCAAGTCATCTGCAAAGTCCAAACCGTTTAGTTTCATCCAACCTAACTATTTTATTCCGTGTTTCCCGTCAGATGTGATCTTCATAATCCGGTTGACCACCAGAAGAAAGAGGAAGGAGAGAGTAAGATACCTTGCCTGACTCCGGTCCTCACTTGGAATGCATCTGTCAGCTGTCCCACATGCAACACATTACACTGTAGCCCATCGTATGAATTCGGATGATATTGTCGATTGTCTCAGGTACTCCGTAGTATCGAAGAAGTTTATTATTATTATTAATGGCTTTATTCAATATTATATTTTGGTACAATAAAGAATTCTCATAGAATTCCATAACGTCCTCCAATACACACTGTTAAATGCTTTCTCATAATCAAGGTAGTTGATATATGGTGACGAATTCTATCCAACCGATTGTTCAACGGTGATCCATAGTGTCGCAATTTGGTGTGTGCACGACCTGTTGATCTGAAAGTTGTGCGTCTACTGAATCTTTCATCCAGTTCAGCAACACTCTGTTGAAAATCTTTCCTGGTACTGATAGTAGTGTGATTCCTTTAACTCAGATCTTCTTTCTATCAAACATATATATGATCCAACTTAATAGCAGCTTCCTTTTCTAAAATGTGAATATGAATAGCCATAATTTTTTCCTTGAATACATGTTACATATCATGTAGCTTATATTCATTCATGATAACTTACATTGAGATATAATTCGATTTTGCTACTACTACTACTATTACTACTACTACTACTACTACTACTACTACTACTACTACTACTACTACTACTACTACTACTACTACTACTACTACTACTACTACTACTACTACTACTACTACTACTACTACTACTACTACTACTACTACTACAGACTTTTTTAGGTACTAAGAATCATTACATAGATGACTGTAAAATGATCTAAAATTGAATGCCATTTTATTAGCTCTCTATTTGTAAACAATTTAAAGTGTTATCATGGACAAGTCTACATTTTATACGTGTCTACTTCAATTTATATTACTTCCTGTTGGCTAAGCACTTTAGATTAGAACAAACCATGTAGTGTAATTGTTTGTTTACATTCATTTCTCCGTCTCGAATATATATATACAATTCAGAACAATTTTCAGTTTTAAAGTTTTTTGTTAAACAGAAACTGGTTAACAATCGTTCGGAATTTTGTATCTCTAATTGTCATGTATGTCACGTCCTTCTAAGTGCAGATCGAATCCTATCGACCAAGCTGCAATATGGCCACTAGGACCTGACATACATGTAAATGATCACCACCCAGTGATCAGTCAATTGTAAATACATCTCAGTCCTACAGGTTAGTTGTGGCCCTGATAGCTCAGTGGTAACGTTTTGGATGTGAAGCCGAGTGGCAGGGAATTGAATCCATCAGGAAGAATCAGTTTCCTCAAGATTACAACTACACCTTACTAGCGAGTACCAAGTAGTACGAAACCTAGGTCCAGTGTTTCCTGTTGACTACCTTTAACCACCATCTTAAATTAAAATATTATTTATGCGATATATGAAATATGTAATGGTGTTTTTAAATCAATAATATTTTTTGACAGTAGTTTGATGGTATGTTTATTACTTTGAGTTTTGCTAGTTCTATAGCTTCTTATCAAGAACAGGCAATCAACGTTTTTATTCATCATCTACTTACCTGAATACTGTAATTTGTTTTATTGTCTACATAGTACATATAAAAAACCTGATAATTTCTAAAATCACTCAACTTGGAACTTTTAGCAAGGATAAAAACATTGAAAAAATGTCAACAATTGCGGGAAAATGCGTTATGTAAGTGAAAGACTCATCTATTTTGTTCGACTCTCTACTGATCAGCTGTTCCTTTTTTTTGATTTCTGTCAATGAAGTTGTTAAGGTTTGTTAATAGAATTGACACTACGTATGACAGCAGTCTTTAACAACGATTTACCCCTTTTTTTCTAGTCAACTAACTTTCTACCAGTTAAGTATTCTACAGAATGCAATCTTTCGTGAAATTCCGTTTTTCTTAGTATGAAAAGTATCCAGGCTGAAGTAGCTTGAAAATTATCTAGTAAAACAAATTATGAACAAAATTTTCATAATAAAATCGTGAATGATTTTTGAAATTTTTCGAGATTGACTTAAAGCAAATCAATTTCTTCTAAGTTTAGCAATTTCTCTGTTTTAGACTGAGATCATGAACCGATTTATGTTAGACCACCATTGAAAACCTGGAAGCACTGGACGGCCGTTTCGTCCTCATGTGAGACTCCTCATCAGTGCACATTCACGGTCACGCTCGTGGGATTCGAATCCAAGACCTTCGGTCTCACGCGCGAGCGCTTAGCCACTAGACCACTGAGCCAGCATCTCACGATGTTAATGTCTAACCTCAACCATTTCATGGAATTGCGCGACCATCTTCCATTGTACTGAGGTAGATACCTGTCTCTACCCGACACGGATTAGTTCCAGTGGTCATGGCTTTTCACTAGAACTCTGCTGAGGAGTCCCATAATAGGACGAGACGGTCGTTCAGTGCTTCCAGGTTTTCAATGGTGGTCTAACATCAGTAGGTTCATGATCTCAATCAAAAACTTACTAATCTCCACAACCCCATACTGATAATTTCTATGTTGTAGAACAAAAATTATCAGGCTTTTTCTATCAAGTTATTATATCAAGACTATAAAATCGATCTTGAATTCACCTACTGAGCTTCTATATCATGACTTTAAATATGAACAACCTATTTATTTCCCAAGTTTTCATAATAAAATACGTTATTTTGTTATTCATTATGCTAGTTGACAATAATGTTTAATGGAAAAATATGTTTCCCTAGGTTTTGAACTATTTATTTTTAAAATCAGTAGTATAAATCGTTTGCAAACAATAATGGACATGATTGGGTTGGAGATATATATCCGTAAAATAAGAAATATTGGTTCAGTGAAGAATTCTCCTTTCAGTAAATCTACTTATCGAGCAGTATAATCGCAAATATATACTAGTTTTCCAAAATGATAATAATGGCAATAATAGTAGTAATAAAATTTTGTTAATTATGGTAACAGTGAAGTAAAATAAATAAAGATACGAAAATGCGATTTTAATGAAGGGAACTATTAGTTTAATTGATATCCAATCATGAAGATAGATATAGAATTATGATTGAAAAAGGAGGGCTCAATGTGAAATGATCAAATGCTGGATTTGAGATGAACTGTTATTAGGAAGATAATAGAAACGGTGACAAATCATTTGATGATCAAAGATTTATAGAGATGATTTAAGTGAAGCTCATCAATGAAGAGAAGAACAAAAATTACGAAAGATCAAGACAATTTTAGAAGAAGAATTTACGCAGGTTTCCCATGTATACATAGTTCTGAATCTTCCAAATGTATGACAAATGCTTCGAAAATGCTACGAAATTAAACGTTAGGAACCTTAGATGTCCTTCAAGTTCTAATAATCATAGTCTAACTTACTAAACGAACCTTTAATTATATGTATTCTTTCTCAATGTAATGATAAATAGTAGCAGTTTAAAACCATAAAAAAGTTAAGAACACTTTATGATCAACAGTTTGCACTACAAAAATGTTTGATATCGAGAGCAGTTTCCGAATTTAGGGATAAATTTTGGGATATAGAGTGGATTTTGTTAAAATGATCTATGTTCATAATCATAATAAATAGTTATATTCGACGAAAATAAGTGAAACAATCGTAAATCACTGGGACTTCTGGAAAAATGAATCCTTAATAAAGTGCTAATTCCGTAAAACTTAAATTATATGGATACGTTTTTATTTTAATGATATGAGCAGCTGAAATTAGTTCTATTCAACGTTTTGCCTACCAGAGGTTTACCGTAGTCCTCCGAGAAATAACAATAGTCAAATCGAATATAGTTCACAAAACAACTGTATACTAAACTGTTGTACTGTAACAAGCGGAAATCGATTTACTTTTATAGTCTAACGTTGAGTTAATCACTTTGAAATCTATTCAGATGCAGGTAACTGATGTTAATGTATATGTTATTCTAGTCAGAATTCAGTAGGCTTATAAAATTTTTCATTATGGCTGAGGTTATATTAGCCGTGTAGATCATGATAGTAACAAATGTAAAGCAACTGGCAGTTTAGCTTTTTAGATACGTGCAAAATGATTATGTTACTACGTTAATCACACGTGATAGCAAACAATTAAGTTGGAAGATCATAATTGAAAAGTTTAATTCTCATTATCATGCTGCTTGTCCGTTTACTGAGAGCTTCGAATATCAGTCACTGTTAATTTGATTGGTTTGAAGTCGATTACACTTCCTCCATAAATCTATTGGCATATATGTAGTCTAGTTTCGCAACACTTCATGAACGGTATATGTCACTGCATCATCATTATGAAGTAGGTTTATTTTTGGTTAGTAGTTTGCAAGTTTGAAGAAATCAAACAAACGTGACGTCAGACATCTTACACTACTCCCAATTCTTGGGATTTGGAAGGATATACCTCATTCAGGTTCATAAGCTGTAAACAATCAATGTTCATCTTGTGCAAATGTCGTTTTCTATTTTATGGTGTGATGCGGTCTGTTTAATTTGTATATAAACCCAGTATGAATTCACTTGGTGTTGGTTTACTTGTATCTTCCCATTGTTATTTAGGACTGTAATTGATCAGTCTCATGTTGACATATGAGCATCCTGTGCGGATTGCCTCGACACAGCCTTAAATCACAAGCTTTCTAAGCAAAGATGGATAGTGACTAGCAGTGGAATCCAGTCTGACGCGCGTTTCGTCCTATTTTGGGCTCGTCAGATGGATGTACATGCATCCCAGAGTTGATGTCTACTCTAGGACTCGAACCCAATACCGTTCGTGAATCATCAGCACAGGTTGCACATATGTTAATAGGAGACTGATCAACTGCAGTTCCAGACAATAATGTGAAGGAACAAGTAGAACAACACCTAGTGAATGTAAACTTTACCCCATTACACAAGCAAGTGGCTATCAGAACTCAGTAGCTAAGTGGATAACGTGATCGCGTTTGAAGCAAACGGTACTGGTTTCGAGTTCTGGAGTGATCGTCAACTCTGGGATGCAGGCACATCTATCGGACGAGTCCTAAATAGGAGAAAACGCGCGTCCTGGATTCCAATGCTAGCCACTATCCATCTTTGCTTAAACCCGGTATGTTTGAAATAGATGATTCATATCACAGAGGCTGTTATTGGTGTTCTGGACTCAACAGGGCCAGGCTGGAAGAACAGTCTATAAAGACGCCAGGCTGCTCGTACACGTCATTGATCTTGTCGATGAATCACTGTTCTCTAATAGGCTGTGGAGTGTGTGCTACTTATATCCACATAAGTGGTATATAACGTTAGTCAGGAATTAAGAAAGGAATAACGGCAATAGATAGAAATTGGTATGGAAATGCAAGAAAAGTGAAGTCTGAGACGACTGATTGATATGTAGCAAATTAATTAATTACTATATGATTCTCAGATTTTATTTAGATATGCTGTAACGTTGTATTCAATCATATAGGATTGGTACAAATTGTGTTGTTGTTCAATAAAACGGTATCATTATGTTGTAATTTGATAGGGCACAAGGCCACGAATTTTATCGATTTTCATTGCCAAAATCTGATGATAGTTGCCTTCACTTTATAACATAGGCTGCAACAAAATATTCACTTATTCTTACTTGTATATATTCAAAGAAAACAGAAACTGTAACTGATCGAGTAATAGTGAATAGAATAAATGGAATAACCATCATTCACGAATTGCACATATATGGATAAATAAAAAATTACATTGATTCTCTAACATGAAAAAGAAAAAGAATTTTCTGCCATTCAAATAAAGTTTGTTGTTATGCCATCTGATTATTTTCACAAGCTCCAAAAACAGAAGCAAAAAAGCTTATTTTTCATAGTTTTCTATAATGATCTATTTCATTACATTGAATGCTTGATTGGAATAAATTGAAACAAAAATATTCTATTAATATTAAGGAACATTTGTACATGTTTTCTATTCATACATGAAACTAATGAAACTTACATAAAAACGAAACTTAATTACTTTATTTTATTATATATATCTTTCAATAGTTGAAATCATGAGTCAGTTGAAGCTAGACCACCATAGAAAACCTGGAAGCATTGGACGGCCGTTTCGTCCCAGTATGGGACACTTCAGCAATGTGCATCCACGATCCAACACACCTACGCGAGATTCGAACTCAGGAACTATCAGTCTCGCGCGCGAGTGATTAACAACTAGCTCACTGAGCCGGCGTCGCTTGAAATCTTGTAATATTATAACTAAATAATGATTAACCACAAAAAATGAACATCAAACGGTTGAACATTTGATCAACCAAAACAAAATTTACACAGCTAAATACAGTTAGACGGTGGTTCAATTTCGTGGATTGGTTGAAGTTAGACATTAACACCGTTCGACGCCGGCTCAGTGGTCCAATGGTTAGGCGCTCGCGCGCGAGAACGGTAAGTCCTGGGTTCGAATCTTGCGGGGAGCAAGACCGTTGTAGTGGGATTGGACCACAACCACACAATCCTTAAAGCTGAATACGAGATTACTCGGAAAACGGATATTCAATATTTAACGCAGAGAAATACCTAACGATGGAGAAGGCGCGAACAATGAATTGAGTGGACTAGAGTTGATCGAAAGGCATGGCTCGGCCATGCAGGCGTGGTCCCTTATGAATGTTATCTTATATCTTCTATTCATATTAAATATATTGTTCTTTCTTTAGCCTAACCTTGTTCTATATCATGTATTGGTAATTGATACGATACAGTGAGTTGGCGTAGTCGATGGTGTGACTTCCACGTAAGATCTTATAGATTAGGCAGTTATATCATGACAAATATACAAATTTAGGATTAGGTCTATTATTAGAGCAGCACTAATGTTATAGTAGACCGTAATTCTACACCGTCACTGCTGAGGAGTCCCATACTAGAACGAAACGACCGTCCAATGCTTCCAGGTTTTCTATGGTGGTCTAGTTTCAAATGACTCATGATTTGAACTACTGAAATTTCTAAAATCTCCACAAAACCCATTCTGATAATGAATACATCTTTGTTAGAGAATCATATTATGGTTAGAATGCTTAAATTTTTAAGGGAATAAATAAAACCACATTTTTTATAACTTTTACCCTATTAATATATAACGTAATGATACCGCCAATTAGAGAATAGTAATTTATCAACGGGATCAATGACGAATAAACCAGTACGAGCAGTCTAGAATCCTTATATGTTCTTTTTCCAACCTAGCCTTGTCTGTTCGGTTTAGGACATGAATAACAGCTTCCGTGATATGAATAATGTATTTCAAACATACTGGGTTTATATACAAACCAAATAGACCAAATCACACGATAAAATAGAAAATGTTATTTGTACAAGATCTAGCCAAAAGTGGCTATGAATGTGAGTGACAATAGTTAATAAACTGGGTATAACTCAAAAACGTTAAATCGTATAAGAATAATAATCTATAGATCAAAATAAAGCTTTTAGCAAGAGTTTACTTTTTATCAACATAAATAACATTTAATACATCAATGACGAAACATCGGATGTTAAGGGGAATGTAATGGAAGCAGTAGAAATAGATGTATATACTTAATTAATAGATTAATTGTAAACCTGTAAGTATCACATTTCATGGCCTGGAGAATAAACTAAGAATTAAACAAGCTTTAGTCAAAAGTGGTTAAATTAAAATAAAAAAAAACTAATCGCAACTAATAATATGAGATATGGGTGGTAAAACAAGAGAGCGATTGACGTGATTGCAGTCAACGTTTATATGAACTCACTGTCACACACTTTTCATAAACAGCTATTTTTAAAAAAAGTGAACAATTAACATTGGATTTAACTTTTTTTAGACATACACGCACACACACAGGAGATAAATAACAATCAGCTTCATCCTGATATTAATATAAACGCTTTGTAAACAAAAAGATAACATGTTTTCCTACTCTGTGAATCATTAGAACAGATAGCAGCTTACATTGTTATCCATATCTGGCCATTATGTAATACATTTCGAACAATCTGATCAGATATAACCTACTTGTGTTCAAATAATAATAATAATAATAATAATAATAATAATAATAATAATAATAATAATAAGTGCTCTAATTCTGTAGCATCAACATATTTGGAACATCAAAATAAACGTATAACTAATTGATTTCAAAGGTTTAATTTCTGTTTTAATCGGACATTAATGAAAAATTGAAAAAAAGTGATATAAATTGGCAAGTTGTCCATTTACATTGATAAATTTTTTCAGTATTATTAGATAGCAATGTTGATTTACCTATAAAATTGTGATTCGCCATCACCTCCAGGCATTGTGAATCTTGCTTTGTAATTTGAGAAATTGCTAAAAAAAAGCGTTTATTAAAGAAGAAAGTACTAATTAGCTGTTAAATCATGATAATCTATTTCTTTATTTTAAGGAATTGTTGTCAATTGACTTTCTATCAACTAGTAACCGTACACTTAGTACAAAAACTTTTCTTTTATTTACCTAGTATTGTATTAACAGGACTAGGAGACAACGGCCGCATTCCTACAATTCAGGAACATGTGGAACTCAAAACAACTGTCTGTCAATCAACATCGAAGTCAAAATCTTCAATACGAACATCAAGGCAGATCTACTGTATGGAGCTGAAACGTGGAGCAGTATCACAACCATTATCAAAACATAAAAGTATTGATAAACACTTGTTTACGCAAAATACTCAACTGGTGTTGACCGGAAGCAATCAAGAATAGCCTTCTGTGAAAGAGAACAAACCAAATTTGAGCTGAAGATGGAATTAGGAAATGACTTTCGAAGTGGATAGGATATACACTGCGGGAATCCACAAACTGCATCACGAGACAATCTGTGACTTGGAATGCTGAAGAGAAACGGATGAGAGGATGAACAAAGAACACATTGCGTCGATAGTTGGGAGCAGATATGAGAAGGATGAATAGCAACTTGAAAGAACTGGAAGGGATTTCTCAAGACAGGTTTGGATGGGGAGTGCAGTAGGAGGGCCTATATTCAACCACGAGGGGTAGCATGCGCAAGTAAGTGAGTAATTTTTTAAACAGAATACATTACTGTCAGTATTCAGGTTGGTAAAATTATATAACATGGCACTGATGCATATGACTTTATGCACAACCCATTGATACTATAAAAGTAGTTTGTCTATTTTTTAACAGTTGGACATTAACACCATTGGATACCGGCTCAGTGGTCTGGAGGTTAACCGTTCGAGCGCTAGACCGAAGATCCTGGGTTCGAATTTGGCGAGCGAGATCGTTGGTGCGCACTGCTGAGGAGTCCCATACTAGGACGAAACGGCCTTCCAGTGCTTGCAGGTTTTCCATGGTGGTCTCGCTTCAATTGACTCATGAATTCAACCATAAAGTTAAAACAGTACAAAGTAAACTACTGTCAGATGAAGGTGACTTAGTTAAGTCAGTTTTTCAACAGTCGATAACAAAACCAAAATTTTTATTTCGAGTATGAGATGTAAAAATCGTACATATTCATGCTTAATCCTACTGAATCGAGAACGTTTTTGACATTGCAGTGTGGATTTTATTTTCACATCTGATTGAGAAATTATATGTCAGCCAGTTGAAAACTGTTTAACTTAGCACTGTTCATTCACTTAATTCATGTTTTCACCAAGTTAATATGTTAGTGTACCATGTTATGGATTTCAAAATGAATTCCAATTATTGAGATCAAAAATTGTTATACTGTGGTATGTGCTACTTATGTCCACATGAGTAGTATATAACGCTAGTCAGGAATAGAATGTCTGGAAGCAGAAGGTTGAGAAGATTGAGGAGGGAAGAACTGGAACAGAAAGCAATTCGTATGAAAATGCAGGAACAATGAAGTCTGTGACACTTAATAAACATTTTGCATGTGAAGTATTGGAGTATGGTCTTTCTATTTTATCAAGTAACTCTGATTGTTCCCACCTGTATTCTCCTTCATCAAAACACTACTGTTTAATTTTCCTTGTAGAAAACTAAGAACCTAATTGAAAATAAATTAAACAAAGTTTGTTTACTTACTAAGCAGCTTCATGGTTACCAACACATGTCATATAAGGAACTTTTGATGCAATTGGTTGTATATTACGCATAAATTGATCACCAACTCTTGCGTTATCCTGAAATTTAGTTTCAACATGAAAAACATCAAATTATTGAAAGACTTTTCAACGTTACTTTTATAAGAGTAAGAATATTCAATTGCGACACACAAAGGTTACAATTACTAACAATGTAGTGCAGAAATTGATGTTAAGCATTTTTATCAAGAATTTACTATACTGACAAAGAACATCTTGTTTAGTTGAGTATCAATAATGGAGAAACTGTAAAGAGTTAAGGGCAGCTGTTTGTACTGTTCTGGTCATGTTTCCAACGACACATTTTGATGTTTTTCATATCTATCCAATAATAAAATGACTTCTCATTTTGTTATCCCTACATCTACATTTTCGACTCATGAATCAAATAAATGAAGTGCATATCTACCAGTCTATCAAATTGATTTTATTTTCTCATATTGAAATACTAAAATTCAAAGAATGGATCATAGAAATATGTTATCAGTAATTTCAATAGTTCAAATCATGTGTCAATTGAGGCTAGACCACCATGGAAAACTTGGAAACACTGGGCGGTCGTTTCATCCCATTGTGGTACTCCTCAGTAGTGCGTATCCACAACCCTCCGTCATGAGATTTGAACTCAGGACCTATCAGTCTCGCGCGTGAGCGCCTTACCTCCAGACCACTGAGACGGTATCTAACGGTGTTAGTGTCTAACTTCAACTAATCCACGAAATCGAGCAACGCATCTCAACTACTGAAAATACTACAATCTCGACAAAACCCCTTCTGGTAGTTATCAGTATTTGTTATAGTGTCGGTTGCTATGTTAAGCACACATTAACTATTCTAGCTTACACATTTTGACCTTCTTCATTAATCACTTATCAACCTTGACTGATTTTATATGAGCGTATGTGTGTGCATCTCTCATCTTACTCATCACATGTCTGTAACTTATTTTTTTGTGACTAGAAATATCGATTAACGCTTGATTAAATCGAGTTGGCTCACACGCATTCTCCACTGCGCGTTATTTCGCTTCTCTCACTTCTCTTTGCTTCCTTCACATCGTCTCCCCGATTGTCCAGATCAACGAGTTTACAAAATATATGTATTCAAAATTTCATTGTCGCATTTAACTTATTTAGTTCCGTTATTTACTAACGCGATTCAAGTTGTTCATTATATACGAGGATTGGCGACATATATATTTCGACAGCCATTATTCGATAACGATCATTCGTCTGATCTAACTGGAGTCAGATATCCAGGGGCCACTAAACACTTTTGTAAATAGGTAAGTTCATAAACATTTACTAGCGGACGTTTTAAGTTAAACCTAGGAATGATTTTGTCAGAAAGTGAAGCACATTGTTCTAATTTCTTTCCCAGAATAAAGAAGCTATTTGTATAGTTGGTAGATAAACTAACATACAAAAGGTTTCTATTCAGCTATATTACTTCTAAATATGATTTCACTCATTACCGATCATTACTAAAGTTATTTTTCAAGGTTTATACGCGTTTTAAATAATTTAGCCTAGAACCTACCATTAAAATATAATTAACAAAGTATACAAATTATATAACGAGCATTATTCATGTGCATAAACCTTTTCTGGGCAATAATATAGAGCACTTAATGGACATTTACTAACAAATATAGAAGTGACCATTGGATATACTCTTGGATAGTTCCAAAGGCTATATCAAACTGGAAAACGACATCTTTCTGAAATCTCATGAACACAGTTGGCATATGATTTTAAAAATCTTCAAATAGTGTGCTATATTCCGTCTAGAGATGCTTGTTTACCAGTATTACTCCACTAAAATACGGCATCGGCCTTTAGCCAGTGTTTCTGTTATTAATAGGTTGAATGTTAGTTACTTACTGAATCCATATTATAGGCGAAATCACCAACATGTAATACCACATCATAACTATTTAAATCTTTGACTTGATGAATTAATTCGGGTAGTGAAAGTGCATCAGTTGTCCCCATATCTCCATAAACTGCTATTTTAGGTGACCAATAAGGATGAGATGGGAGAGCACGAAATTTCAAAACATCTGACCAACCATCTAAACTACCACATTTATAATCTGCAAAGCGAAAAATATATGATAAGCCCAAAGACTATCTGAGTTTGACACCTGACACTGCTACTTAAACTGAAAAATCATTTTAGTCCTCAGTTCATTACTAAGTCATTTGAAATAAAATGATATCGATTACTTCATTGCTTATGCTTGTGTGCTAGTAAAGAGGTAGCCTATGCAGAAACTTTACTAATTACGATAAAATTCATCTTGTACAACTAATCTCCTCTCTGCTGAGAGGAAATTTGACACTCAGAATAGTATCGACTCTTTCAGGGATGTTACTAATTTGTTGTCTATCAGCTAATGAATTCACATAGATTTGGGATATTAACTAACGAACGTCAACCATTCCTAAATGTGTCTAGTCTGTTGGTCGTGCATTGTCAGACAAACTATAGAGTATGCTCTTGACTTCAATTTTAAGTGTTTCATGGCGATCAGCAATAAATCAAAAACCAGTTTCATGCTAACTATTATCTGAGACCTCTAAATCACAATCGTACCAGATAAAATGTGGCATTAAGTTTGAAATTTCATTGGTTTCATCCTAGAAAACCTTTATTGAGAAAGGTTTTTATTACTGTTTGGGGTCGCTTACTCCAGGCCTAACTTTCTTCCTCTATCCAGGATTGAGATCACAATAATCCTGCTAAGGCTTAGGACAGAATTACTTATTTTAGGAGATTAAGTTCGATTGATTTATGATTTGTCTAAACTCAGTGTTGTAGCCATGAGAAATCGACGACTCAGCATTTTTTCAGGAGAGGTATGAATAAATGCTGTCAGATATGATTCATTTATAAGAAAGAGATATATATTCAGAAAGGTTATCATATTAACAAACTGTGGATGTCAGTAAAGAAAAAAATCCTTTTTATTTACAGAACGACTTTTCAAACTTACAATAAGTTGTATTACCAATTAAATCGGATAAGATCACTCGATGCATATACATTTTGCGTTGTTCACGTCCTCCATCAATAAACTCTTTAACGTAGCCAGTACTTTTCATATTTAACAGCATAGTACCATAGAGTACAGTTGAACTCTCTGTATTTTCTTGTGTAACCCAAGTAATACTTATGGTGGATGGTTGCTCTATGATACAAAAATACTGTTATTTATATGATGTTAAACATCTTCACAAAAAGATTCATCAAAATGAACAATTGAATCATGTTCATAGAAACAGTTAACACTGTTTCAGTGCCTAGCTATACAGAGGTGTCATACAACATTTCCGAATGATTTTTATTATGAATAAATTGGTTTACTATTTAAAACCTCCGTTTGTATGTACAAAAATTTCAACTTAGATGCACATTTGTGTTGGAAGAAAAGTACTCTATCAATGTCAAGAATTGACAATAACTTTAAATAAATTGGTCATTTAGTATAATATTATTAACAATGGAGATGGACGCGCAATTTCGTGGATTGGTCGAGGTTGGACATTAACACCGTTGGATCCCGGCTCAGTGATCTAAAGGTTACGCGCTCGAGCGCGAGACCAAAGGTGCTGGGTTGGTGGTTGCTCACTGCTGAGAAGTCCCACAATAGGATGAAACGGCCGTCTAGTGCTTCCAGGTTTTCAATTGTGGTCTAACATCAATCGGTCCATAATCTCAGTTAAAAACATAATAATCTCCACAACACCATACCGTTAATAATAATAATAATATCATTATTTTTCCGCCGAACAAAATCTATTCATCATTTACTCAAAATATTATGTGCGTAATATACACACTCTGAACACTTACTATAGTCTATTTATACTGTGGTGTGCGCTACTTATGCACATAAGTAGTATATAATGATAGTCAGGAATAGAATGTATTTCATTAGAAAATCGAGAAGGAAAGAACTGGAACAGAAAGCAATTGGTATGAAAATGCAGGAACAACGAAATCTGAGACGATAGACTGATATAAACAAAAGAAACAGTCAAGATTGAGACAATTGATTGATATTTCGTAAATTAAGCATTCACTGTATGGTTGTCAGATCTTAATGAGATATTCTGTATTACTGTGTTCAAATACGTTCGTATGCCTACATTTGTGTTTTTGATCACTACGATGCCAAACTCCATTTATATGTTAACAAAAATATCGGTTATATCTAAATGTCCAATGCTAGATTAACGTTCGGGAATCAATACAACTGTAGCGTACTAGAATCTGAACCCTTTGTTAATTTGCTGAAACTATGTCATTATGAGTGTAAGAACAAAAATTGGTGCAGAATAATATGAATTCATTTTATTTCGTTAGGTCTTCCTGAGCTGTTTACAATCTATAATATTTGGAAACCAGAGTTATTACTGGTATTGACGTACCTATACATAAGAGGGTGAATAATGATGAATATATGTATCATGTGTAGCGAAGATTCCGATAGAGTTAATGAGGTCATATAATTTTTGGTTAGAATGAATAAAATTTGGGAGAGAAAGTACCGGAACATTGAAATAGAGAATAGAACTCATGGAGTTAACAATTATTAGATGATTATGTAATCAAGCAACTGAAAATAGATCAACGGTAATAAAGAAAGATATGAATTGGAATCAGTCGGTTATGAATGATGTAATACTAAACTTCGGAAAGAGTTGGAATAACGAATGACGTAGTAAGTGAAAACAGAAAAAAACAATGAAAAAGTGGGCTTTAATGTTACCGTGACAAAGAAAGATCTATGAATGTCTCTTTTTGTCACAATTATTTAAACAGCTTTTCGTTGTTGTTTTTGAGAGTATCAATGTTAATAGTTGATTTCACCATGGTGCCTTCCTATACTTCCCAAAATATTTTTTTTTCTATTGCTGTAAAATGATTAAGCTGGTATAAGTCATTGGTCGTACTTTTTTCTGCAAAACATTTGTCAGGACATTTTAGCTAAGCTAATGTATTTGATGAAAGATTTTAGTAACCAGCTAGAAAATTACTATTCAGTTGCGTGTGTTCGTTTTACATATAATTAGAATTTCGATGAAGGTGTGTAACAAAACTGACGATAGGTGCATATTCTATTGTAACTAAGTATAATCAGATAACGGACTATACTGAGAAGTCGTGAATGGAGGACATCCTACAGATGTATTTCAAGTGAAGTCCGGTGTCAGACAAGGCTGTTTACATTCAACCTTTCTCTTTCTTCTCATGGTCGGACGGAATGTTAAAAGCTTCACATTTCGAAAGAAGCATGGAATACGAAGGACAATTTGGATATCAATAGACGGTTTGTGCTTAGCAGATGGCCCAGCTTTTCTATCCCATACACATCAACAAATACTGGTCAAGACAGCCAATGTATCAGCAGCCACTGCATCAGGCGGTCTCAACATACACATGATACAAATTAAGAAACACTGCTATAATAACTAGAATATACACTTTATAATAACACTATTAGTAAGTTTCTGTCTTATTATATGTACATGATATTTATATATAAATGAATGTGTAACAGCACATTTGTGTTCCAAGGTCATGTTTTATGATATATCTATTATTACTTACAATTCTTATCGATAATGTTTAGCTCTGATCATATATGTATATAGACTTTGAACACTTCCTGTTTATCTGTTGAAGAATAAACAGAGAATACTAGTTATATTTAGATAGAAACATAGATTTTGTTATTTGTTGAATTATATTTGACTTCATACAACATGCGATTAAATGACAAATAGATTATACGAAACTAAAAATATTCCTTTGAGATTCAAGTATGCTACTGTTCATCTTGCTGCAACGAATATTAAGTCTTGCTATTCTGATTCTATTAAGTCCAGTGTTCCTTATGATCATTTATCTTTATCAACGATTTCAAAAGACAGTATAGATTTATATAGCTGTTCAGAGTAAAATGAAACTCAGAATTCTTGCGAGACAACAGTTTCTAATCAATCTACTTATCAGATTTCTCATGTTATTGTACCAGATATGGTTTTTCCTAGTGATTCACTTATTTCTGATGAAATTCCCTGCAAATTTGAAGAAAATATTCTGAATGAACCTAGTCATGATCGAAAACCTAATGTAGTTTTGATAGATGCTGATTTTTCTAATGATCCTTTACTCTGCAACGACATTCCTAATAAATTCGAGGAAACTATTTCAGAAGAGTCAAATCTTGATGTCATACCAAATATTATTTTTCCTCATAATGCATTTGTTTATTGTGGTAAACGTGTTCAATGTGAAGCACACGTACTAAGTGAGCTCGATTTTGGTTACAATTCGGATGCTTTCATATCAACTGCTGTTTATCCTTATCACAAAGTCACTTCTAATGTTTACACTTGTAGTGACTCACATTTATCACGAGAACACGACTGGTTTAATAAAAACTATTATTATTATGACCAACTGTACCAGTGCTTGTTTTAATGTGCTTTTGTTTGACTGTGCTAATGACAACTATTTTGTGCCTCCATTCATATACACACACTTTGATTGTAACTTCGCGCGAATTCGGTTACGTTCTGTAACCAAGCTTGTATACTGGCACGATCTCGGTATCCTTTCGATACCACGAGATCGCCAGCAAATATATATATCGACTTGGTCCATTAATTGTCTTCTGATATTTGGCTTCTCGGAGATTTTATGGATCTATTTGGTTACGTCCAACCTTCGCCTTCTGATTTATTTGGCACGTGTTTCTTTGTAGCGGTGTTCATAGTTAACTTCAACTCGACGCCACGCTACACTCTAACCAATGTGAGAAATATATTTTAAACGAAGCCACATTATTCATAACTTGGGAATATGAAGATGCAACATAATTTCGTGGGGGGGATAGTCTAAAAGTCTATGGTTCAAATTCTAGGTAGCAGCGGTTTCAGTACACAACCGACATGCTGATTGCACAATCCCAGGAAGCAAGTGAGTCTGTTCTGATTTTGGTTGTTAATTTTAAAAATAATGAGTGCATTCATGATAATAGATCATTTATCCAATTCAATGTCGGACATACACAGGATGAATTTGAGATGAAGACGTACAATTGTTTACAGACACCTAGACAACAATTTAAGCTATGGCGGATGTGATGTTTGAATGAACTAATAATCCCTCTGTACTTGTTGAATGCTTGATTTCGAATTCTACATACAGTACATTCGTTTGTGGTTATCTAGTATTTCTTGATCCAATTACGTTATTTCTGGGAATCTTAGTTCATAATATATTATTCAAATACTTCTAAGTATCATATAACGCAGTAACGAAGAGTCAAAATGATGTGACAAAGGATGCAAATTACTCACCTAAACACGTACACAATATATGAAATTCCAGCATAACTGGAACGATTGCCAAAATCACTGTGACTTTAGCTGTTACCTTTATGATTAATTTACAACTGTTCATATGTCAGCGATATCAATAGCCTCTGAAAATCATCAATTGGTATGGACTAATTACACGGACGGTTTTGTCAAAAGCGTGTGTGTTTGAACCTCTGATTTCATAAATATCGTTGCATTGTTAATGCTTAAGATATTCTATGCCTCTCATGAATTCGCATTTAGCACACAAGAACTCATCAAAAAGCGATTACTTTACCTAATCTCAGCCCTCAAATGCCCTGGTACGGCCGAGAGTGGGGAGCGTTTGCTCTCCCTCTCGAAAAGTCTCACATGGCCACGCGTATATAGCTTCTGCAAGGGAAGTCCGACTCACTGCCTTCTCGTGGCGGGGGTGATGCTTACGAAATTGAGAGGACGAAAAGCGAATGTCCGGCACTTTAACCGGATCCCAAACCAATGGTGCACATGGGCTCCAGTATCATGAAGGAACAAATGGCGTATGAACCAGTTGTTGGTCACCGGCTTCCATGGAACTGCATCTCCTTACGATGATTCACTGCCTTGTGGACCAGACCTCCAGAGTGAACGCTTCGGGTGTGACCCCTTAAGCAAACCACATGTTTCAGTTTGGGCACCCGGGCAGTATCACAGCACCCACACATATCGAATGAGATTTGTGTGTCGCATATGTATTTCGTACCTCCTTGTACTGATATCTATGTGTCAAAATAATAATAATAATAATAAACTAATTTCGGATATTGTGCATCTCGGTTCTGTCCTTTATTTCATGAGGCTCTTGAATCGAGCTCTTTACCCAAGAACTACTAATATATGTACGCTAGTACTAAGATGGTAGCTTAAGTGTTAGTCGGTGTCGATCTGTCACCCTACAACGAAATGCCGTCATTGTGTTAGCCGGTCTACCCGCATACACAAAATCAATTAACAAAACATCAAGCTGTATTGGAGAATACAGCTAGTGCAAATAAACGCGACCTTCGAGTGAAGCAGACACTGCATACCAACTTTCGCCTACGTCAATCGTCCTAGGTTTTGGACAGATCATTCATTATTCAGTCACTATCCACAAGTTTAATTTAACTTGCCAGTTATTCGTCTGCATCCTAGATCATATTTTCAGAGCATGTGTGTGCACTTGTTCACCACGTACTCTCTTCGTCAGATGTCTGTAACCTATCTTCCTGTTCAATTGAAGCGTATTAGAACAAGATAACAAGAGACTTGGAAACGCATGTTTATTTGTCTGTGGATTGGATTATGTGGTCCAAA